CACACACACACACACACACACACACACACACACACACACACACACACCAGTATTTGCATCAGTCCTTTGGACTGCGGGATGGCCACTCGGAGGTCCGTCTTGTGGCTGGTAGGGACCAGGTTGTTCCCAAGAGGTGGAAGAGGGGAAGGAGATTTGGGTGGTATGATCTTCCCCAAGCTGCCTCCACCAGGCGAGCCCACAAAACCGTTCACTGAACAAAGAAACATAGAATTACAAGGACATTTGAGAAGTGATGGTAAGGAAATCCCTCCCTTCCCATAAGAATTCAATGACAGTTTGACTGACTGATTGATGGAAGATATGAGCTTTTCTATATTGTCTATTTTTATAAGTTTAATAGCCCAATGCACCTACATTTAGAAATATTTTAAAATTTAGAATGTGCGTTAAAAACAAGAGGGAGGTTACAGTCCCGTGTGTTGGATCCATTATATCAACCTGTCCACTACCAGGCTCTGAGTGGAGGATGAAGAAAGTACAGCTATATATTATACAGGAGATAATAATGAATAATTGATTGTTTCTCTGGCTCTTGACATTACATAATGGCAATGTTTTTATGAGACATTCTGTACTGGGAGGGAGAGCACGAAGATGTCAGGCAGGGTAGTTTGCAAGGACAGTTTGTTGAATCTCCAACAGAAAAGACGAATACAGCTGAGATAAACCAGTAACAAATGACACCGAGGAGCCTCCAGACTCGTAGAATACCCCGAGTAGCTTATGGACGACTGTGGGTTGCACTTTTTGGAGAAGACAAGAAAACTGCAGTGATCGTTTAATGTCATTCCACTTATAATTACGTTTCCTCAAAGGTCAGTTTAACCACTCCAACTGCATTCTAGTTTTTCTATAAATAAAACTAAAAATATTTTGTTTTGGTTTGACTTACAGGCTTATAAATGTTCTGTCATGATTTTCTTCAGCTAGATGATCGCAGATGAACTGAGCGTCTTTAAAGTTTACAGCACTAATACAATGAAAGAGTACACTATAGAATAAAATATAATAATATGAATATGAAACATTTACACAAGTGTCAGGCATGCTACCAGATTGTTCATGGTTATTAAAAAAAAAAGTGTTTTTCCCAACAGTAACTGGCATGATCTATTGCACACTGAACACGACTAGCCACAAAGAGATAGAGACTGAGAGAGAGAGGCCATAGCAGGTAAACCCCCATCAGGGAAGATGCTGAGTGCAGAGCGGGTGAGGAGAGAAGAAGAGATCCTAGATGACAGCGTTCTGAGGCAAACAATAGTGAGAAGGTTAAAGGTCAGATTGACCATGTCAGTTGCTGTGCTCCTAGAATCATCAAGACAGGTGGTAGAAAGATTTTTTTGCCACTATAGAAGATCTCTCATCGTTCAGATCTGCATCTAACCTGCACTAGTAATTAAGGATTTCCCAGAAATAAATTACAAAGCCATGCATGAAAATGTAACACATTCATGCATACAATATTAACATGTTTTTCTCTGAATAACTGTAATGTTTAGTTCACAATAAATTTAATTACATATCTAAGTACTTATGGTGACGGTGCGGCTCAAGGGTAAAGTTGTGTCAGAGTGGGTTTGTATGACTCCTGAGAAATACATACCAACTGGTCCTGACTCGTTTTGCAGACTCATATCAGAACTGCTCTGCAGGCCACCTGAGGATAAACATAAAAACACACACACACACACACACACACACACACACACACACACACACACACACACACACACAC